GTAATATTCAAAATAACTTTATTAACCAAACAGTACTAAAATATGCCAAACCATGTGTCAAAAAAGTATGCTCACACAGCAAAAAGTACGTGCTGATTAAAACAGCTTATTATGAAAAAATAAAGTTCGATCATTTAAGAATTAGTTTTAATAAAAGAAGACTGTAGATAATAGATGGTTAATCGTCTATTATGCAATAAATATCGGGTGTGCTTTCCCTGGTTTTGAACAACAGCGTCACATTGTCTCCTGCAACTCCTGCCACCAGATTCTGCCAATCTTGCTTTGAGAACCGGTTCCATTCTTCATTTACTGCCTGCTGGACCTCTCTAATGTTTCTAACTGGACGTTGCCTCTCATTTACTGCCCTGTTAATCATATCCTAAGCATGTTCTATTACACTGAGAATTGATAAATATGCAGGCCAATCCAAATGTGGGATACCGCGCTGTTGCAGCGCGTCTTGCACGGACCATGCTTTCTGGATGGGCGCATTGTCCTACACCAAAATGATTTTTCTTTCTGGATTTGCTTGAATGTGTGATTGTATGCACACCAATGGTATTTCGTCTCTGTATTGTTGACCAGGGCACCTCCCTTGAATGACGTACGGTGGCAATTTTTCATCGTTTGGCTGATATGAACTGGTCCTGGTGGCATAATCGAACCAGATATCTTCATCTCTTGCGTCGGTTAATACTGGTCTACCAGAAAGAGGCTTGTCCAATACATGATGAGTTTGGCGCCATTTTGCTACCAGCTTGGACACTAAACTTGGTGCTGCTTTTTTGTTGCCTTGCAATCTGTCTCTTTGGCACCCCAGCACGATGGCTTCCCATTATTTGCCATCTGATTACCTCGTTGAGTCCTCTTCTAACCATTGGTTAGTCCAAAATAACAAATTGTGCCCATGAAACTAGCCAAACTGGAAGCTCCTCATGGCATGGCCAAACTGTGTTTTTCGCAAGTGGCACCCCCATTGCATATTATATCGTGTCCAACAGTAAATAGTACTCTAATGTCACGGTCCAGTAAGTCAAAGTAAAAACAAGAGAAATATCTAGCTACTGTACAAATTTTGCCTCAATAAAAATTTTGGTTGCTGAGAAATTCGAGAAATAAGAAAGTGTTGCTTAACTTATGAGCATCAGTGTATGTCGGTAGCACTTAACAGCATTAACCGGAACTAGACTTTTTCAAAGTACGCAAAGCCACTTTTACATACTAGTATAGTAAACTTGAAACTTACTTGAAATTATAAGGTGGTAGTTATTTACTATGCTTATTTTCTATTCTGTTTCGCTGGCTCGTTTACTCTAATTTACCTCCGTTGTTCTTCGATGAGAAATTTACTACTGTATACTGCTCTACGTTAAAGACAATCAGCGGACGAGACTAAAAACAAAGGAATTTTAATGACCAATAAAATGTTGGTTTCGCTCATCAACGGGATCTGGCCACCCTTGACGTCAGTAAACGCACCAAGCCCCCTGTTGGCGAACAAAAGGGCATCGGTCGCTCCCTAGACTTCTATTGTGCTGGCCCGCACATCTATCACAATACTTACAGATATTTTAATATTCAATATTTAAAAATCATTAAATTTTGCCAATTTTGCCAAAGGTGCATTCCGACGAGTGCCACAAGTAGACCCAAATACCGACAAACATATAAATTAATATGGATCGAGTTGAGGAGAAGCAGTAACGGTGTCGGGCGGGCCTAAAACTATGTGTACCGCCAGCGCACACGCTGGTGGTACAACAAGTTGACAAAATCAGATTTTTTGAGAAATGGGTAACAATCTTTGTGATTAAAATGAGTAGCAAGTGAAACATAAAGTAAACGATGTGCTTACTTGTAACCAAGCATTCTGCAGACCACACTAGCACCGTTGTTATCCCAGCTGTCATCACAGACAGTGCCCCATCCGTGGTTGTAGAACACCTCTACTCTTCCCTCACCGACACGAGAGCCACCTACCAATCTCACATCAACTACAAAAGTACACATGACGATCAGCAAAGTTTTTCCTTAGAATTAATTATTTGTTCACACAATGTTTCTTACAAAAGTGGGCGATTTTGACGTTCATTTTGAGTATGGCGATAGCAAACTGTGGAAACATTCCTTTTTTATGTCGACTCAGTTATATTATATTATATTATATTATATTATATTATATTATATTATATTATATTATATTATATTATATTATATTATATTGTTCTTAACGTTTTCGAATATATTCAAAGTGTTAACAAGTGCATACAACTAGAGTCCATGGAAAAGTAATCTAAATAACATAACAGAGGTATGCAACACGAGTAAAGTACGTAATTATAGAAAACATTATGTTCACCCACAAGGTGTCGCTGCAACACATCTAACTCCAGCATCCTCAGAGTGAGCACAGTTGTGTGTCTTCCAACCTCTGTGTCCACAATCTTTGATAGAGGTCTCTATCCCAGAACAGTCGACGTTATCCATAAGAATGGAACCAGTACCTTGACCAAATTGAGCTCGGGAAAGGGAAACGGAGCCAGTGGGACTAGAATTTGTAAGCCATATTAAATTAGTTGACATGATCAGATAATTTTCTTAAAAATTAATACAATTTTTTTACGATTAAAATGAGTAGCAAAGGAAACATAAAATAGAAAAGTACTTACTTGTAACCAAGCATTCTGCAGACTACGCGAGCATCGTTGTCATCCCAGCCGTCATCACAGACAGTGCCCCATTCGCCGTTATGGAGGACCTCAACTCTTCCCTCAGTGTCACGAAAGCCACCCACCAATCTCACAACTGCAAGTTCCGGGTGACAATCATCAACGTTTTATATAAGGACTAATCATTTGTCCGATGCGAAAATCATTTAAACACCATTATGATACCCCCTCAGGTCCATGGCAAAATAATGCAAATTCCATTTTGTAGCATTACTAAAATATGTAAATTAAAAAAACACTCTGTTCACCCACCAGGCCCTGCTTCGAGACATCTGACACCAGCATCCTCAAAGTGATCACAGTCATGTGACCTCCAACCGTTGTGTCCGCAATCTTGGATAGAAGCTTCGCTCCCAGAGCAAGCAACGTTATCCATTAGAATGGGACCAAATCCTCGACCGAAATAAGTGCCGTTAAAGGATACAGAATACTTGGGGCTGGAATTTATAAGCCACATTAATTTGGTTGACATTAAAATTTTTTAAAGAAATGTGTAACATTATTTATAGTGATTAAATCAGTAACAAAGGAATCATAAAAATCAGTAGCAAAGGAAACATAAAAAAAAACGATTTGTAAGCCACAATAATTTGGTTGACATTAGCAGATTTTTTTTTAATGGGTAACATTCTTAAAAGTGATTAAAATCAGTAGCAGCAAATAAAACATAAAGTAAACGATGTGCTTACTTGTAACCAAGCATTCTGCAGACCACGCGAGCATCGTTGTCATCCCAGCTGTCATCACAGACGGTGCCCCATTGAAAATTTAGAAACACTTCAACTATACCCTCGCCAGCACGAACGCTACCCACCAATCTCACTTTAACTACAAAGAATTGCAGATGACGATCAAGAAAGTCTTTTATTAGAACTTATTATTTGGTCACACATTGTTTCTTACAAAAGTGGGTGAATTTGACGTTCATTTTGAGTATGACGCTTGCAAACTGTGGTAAAATGGTATTTTATGTCGATATGATTATATTATATTATATTATATTATATTATATTATATTATATTATATTGTTCTAAACGTGTTTGTGTATATTCAAGGTCTTAACAAGTACATACGACTCGGATCCAGGACAAAATAATTTAACTAGCATTATGTAGCATGACTAAAATACGTGATTGAAGAAAACAGTCTGTTCACCCACCAGGAGTTGTTGCTGTGCGACATCTAACACCAGCATCCTCAGAGTGGCCACAGTCGTATGCTCTCCAACCGTTGTGATTACAATCTTTGATGGAGGTCTCATTCCCAGAGCAGGCGAACTTATCCATAAGAATGGAACCAGTACCTCGACCGAAATGAGGGGCGGAAAAAGATACAGAGCCATTTGGGCTGGAATTTGTAAGCCACATCAAATTAGTTGACATGCACAGATTAAAAAAATGAATAACACTTTTACGATTAAAATGAGTAGTAAAAAAAACAAAACAATAGATGATGGACTTACTTGTAACCAAGCATTCTGCAGACCACACGGGCATCGTTGTCATCCCAGCCGTCATCACAGACAGTGCCCCATTCGCCATAAAGGAACACCTCAACTCTTCCCTCACCGGCACGAGCACCACCCACCAATCTCACCTCAACTGCAAGGAATTCCAAATGACGATCAGTAAAGTTTCATATAAGCATTAACCATATGCTAAGGCACTGTTTAACACGAAACTGAAAATAAAAACCATGTCCAGTGCAAAAATCATTTAAACACCATTGTAATATCCCCTCAGGTCCATAGCTAAGATGATCTTAATACCATTGCGGTTATTACTAAAATACGTCATTGAAGAAAACAGTTTGTTCACCCACCAGGCCTTATCGGGACACATCTGACACCAGCATCTTCAAAGTGACTACAGTTGTGTGACCTCCAACCTCTGTGGCCGCAATCCTGGATAGATGCTTCGTTCCCAGAGCAGGCCACGTTATCCATTAGAATGGGACCAAATCCTCGACCGAAATAAGTGCCGTAAAAGGATACAGAATACTTGGGGCTGGAATTTTTAAGCCACATTTTTTTGGTTGACATTAGGAGATGTTTTTTAGAAATGTGTAACATTATTTATAGTGATTAAAATCAGTAGCAAAGGAAACATAAAATAAACGATATACTTACTTGTAACCAAGCATTCTGCAGACCACACGAGCATCGTTGTCATCCCAATCGTTATCACAGACAGTACCCCATTCACCGTTGTGGAACACATTAACTCTTCCCTCACCGACACGAGAGCCACCCACCAATGTCACTTTAACTACAAAGGATTGACGATCAACAAAGTATTTTATTAGAACTTATTATTTGGTCACACATTGTTTCTTAGGCCCATATTTCACACAGACCACGAATCCGACGTATCGCCAGGAATTGACAAATTTCAGGATTCGTGAGGATTCGTGAGATTTTGCCAATTTTCTGGTCTAATTCGACACGCTCTACGATTCAGTTACGATACAGGTGCGATAGTGTTACGAATATTCGTGGGATTCGGCTGGAATCGCACGAATATTGTCCAGAAATTCACTACGATTATTTGGAATCGTGAGTTCGTTTCCAAAACTTTGAACAAACAGCTCAAAATTTTTGCCACGAATTCCCGATTGATCAAGAATTGCAAGAACTGACTACGATTATATACGAATCTGTTAAGAACTTCACGAACTGATTACGATTCAACCACGAATCCTGAAATTTTCAATTCCTGGCGATTCGTCGGATTCGTGGTCTGTGTGAAATAGGGGCATCAAAGTTTTTTCCACCAATTCCTGTTGGTCAAGAAGTGCAAGAACTGACTACGAATATATACGAATCTGTTAAGAACTTCACGAACTGATTACGATTCAACCACGAATCGTAAAATTTGTCAATTCATGGCCATTTGTGGGATTCGTGGTCTGTGTGAAATAGGGGCATTACTGGGAAATGTTGACGTTCATTTTGAGTATGACGCTAGCAAAATGTGGAAACATTGATTTTCTATGTCGACATATATTATATTATATTATATTATATTATATTATATTATATTATATAAACGTGTAAGGGTCCTGGATCCTGGTCCTTTTTGTGATCATTAGACACTTAATAAACAAATAAACATAATCTGAGATTGAAAAATTAAAACTGTTTTAATTCAGAGAATTTATCGCTACATTTGTAAAAAATACACAATTTGAAGACTAACCCCAAAATTTCGAATACGAGGCTAAGCGGAAGTGAAACAGTACCGGTGGTCTCGTGACCCTTGTTTCTAACCAGAATTCTATGGAGCGTGAGTACATGTGTGCACACCAGTTTTCTTTTTTTTTTTTTTTTTTTTTTTTTTTTTTTTTTTTTTTTTTTTTTTTTTTTTGCGAAAATTAGCAGAGTTCTAAAAGGGAAAGGACACTTCTGTGTAGCCTACGGTTGTACAAGCAACTCTGCAGACGATGTTTCAGTTCATTTGTTCCCGTAGTCGACAAAATCGCCTGCAATTAGGAGGCAGTAGATTGCCTTTGTGAAAACAACAAGGAACGATTTCGTGGATCCCTCCCAGCATTCGGAACTTCGAGAAAAACATTGCGTGCTACCCTTTGAAGTACCAATTGCTGAGGAATATGGGGAAAGAAGATGAAATAGTTCGAAAGCGTTTATTACCCGACGCTGTACCAACGATACCCGTTTTCAATCGAGTGATTCAGGTTGTCGAAGCCGAGTCGAGTGAAACTGCAAGTGCAGCCGCTAGAGCCGATGGAGATAAACAGTTAAGGTCTGCATACAGAGAAACGGAGTTGTCAAGGTTAGGTACGAGGGCCAGTCAATAAATAACCAGCCTAACCTATTTCGGGTTGAGATCTACTTCTTCTTTTTCAATATAATTTCCCTCCAGGGCAATGCACTTGGACAAACGGTGTTCAAGTGCAATCAGCCCAGAAGTGATGAAGTCAGGGTCTTTTCCATTGAACCACTCCTCAACTGCGGTCACGACTTGGCTGACAAGACCTGGCTTCATCTTCTAGACCGCGTTTAAACTCCCCAACCCAGAACTGCGCATAAGATGGTGCAGAAGACCCATACACATCAACTAACTCGGCATGTACATGTATGTCCTTACCAGTTTTACGAGTACCTTTCAAATGCAAGTACTGCATTACAGCACGGTACTCCATTTTTGATGAAAAGCTTGCTTTTACATCATTAGCCATATTTGATATTCAATATCTGAAAAACAAATGACCGTATTCATGTGTAGTTTTGTACCCAGGTACAATACATGTATTGAAACAATGCATGGAAATCGTGGATGTCTCGGTTGATCGGAGATGTGTTAGGCTGGTTATATATTGACTCGCCCTCGTAATACCAGTTTGAATCAATATGGATTGTTAAAGGTACATACGAACCGAGCATCGGAGGAGCGTGGATACCCAGTAACACATGTAAACCACTTCTACTAGTTTCTTATACGACTCAAATAAATTTGACATGCCAAGGGATAAACTTAATAGATCACTCTATCAGCCATAAAAGAGCTCTATGCTGCTCCATTCTTTAAATTTTTGGTCTGAAATTTAACCTACTTTCGTGACCTACTTTTCTGCCCCATTGACATACAGGATAGAATGCTAGCAGAAAAATCCGTTCAAACATCATTTTCGATTAAAATTAAACAATGCCTTTTGGTAATTCACTTAGTTATACTACTTAAAACTATATGCTGGCATTTGGTCGGTTTTTGAGGCAAAAAAAATGGACTTTGTATATAAGATATAAGGGATATAGCATAGCAACAGGATACGTTGTACATGTACTATGGGAATAATAATCTCGTCCCTCATTTTTAAATATTTTAACAGGTTATCACTTTACTTAAAACATATTTTAATAAATATTAGATGTTGCAAGAGTATTAAATGGAGGTATTCATTCCTCAGGTTTAGAGAAGAGAAACCGCAGAAGGTCTGACTGATGATCAAGACATAGGATCTGGAGAAGATCAAAAGGAATGTACAGACATGTTCCTTTGGTGAATTCTTGATAACATATCAATTTTGTCTTCATTGCCTCTGAATAAACCTATAGTTTGAACATTTGATAGATTTCAAATGTTAATCCTGTTATTCGCTCGTGTTGCTCATTTTATTATTCGTTAATTCTTACAAATATTCGAACATTTGATGTTGCTTTTTGCAATATAGCACAATAATCACACAGTACAATAATTAAAGCTTATTTGAATTCATGTTGCTTTAAGCAGCCATGCATTATAATGACAATGGACAAAAAGAACAAGCCTATACTAATTAAGGGTGGAGACAACCGGGGTGCTGTAGTCCTTCCCAGGTTTAAAAAGGGTGAATGCACTGTGATGGATATACCTGTCGACTGCACATTTGGAATGCATATGTAAATAAAATAATTTCACCTTCTGCTTGGTAATTTAATATTGTTCTCCCAATAATATTATATTTTATGAGTCTAATGTTGACGGGCATTGGTTGTTTGTGCAGGGATAAACGTGTATGATGGTTGACAATATATGCAACTTTATTATTGTACTTTTGTATATTAATCTCTTAACCTTTCAGGATATGTTCACCAGCTCCACAGATGTCTGATGCATGCGCCCTGTGCAGGTTGACAGCCTTGATGAAACTGCACTGGGGAAAAACCCCTCCATTGTGTACACAATACAAAAGACCAAGACTTGAAGAAATCCAGGACTTGTCCAGATTTAATACGTAATTTGGATGAGTGTGACATTCATGAGGAGTTTAAAATGTAAAACTTTTAGGTTAACATTTTAGTTTACAACACCACTTTTCACAGAAAACATCAATACATGAGCCTTTTGTACTAATAAAAAAAAATATCATGATAATGCTGCTGCTACTACTACTACAAAAAAGGAGTCCATTAGTTCCAACTTTTTATGCACTTTGAAGTGGTTGTCCGTGCTTGGAAATGCTAACTTTTATGCTAGCACAAATTGTTACTTAAAATGTTCATGGTTTCTTTGTTGAAATCGTTACTGCCTTGAGAACAAAACGGTGCTTTGATGTGATATATAATTGGAATGACAGTGACACTTGATGTTTTATAAATATTGACTATTTCACATTTAACTGTGCAAACAAATTGACGAAGAAGTTAAAAGGTAGTGTTACTAGTACAAGAAAATACAGTTATGACAACAATTAAACCAAGTCCAATAACTTTTTTTTTTTTTTTTTAATGAAAATTCAAATCCCTTGTAGTTGTTGTAATTGCTTGGAAACTGCTGTCTAATTTTCAATATGGTACAGGATAGAAGAGAATGCCTAATTTTCTTTCCCAGTACTCCCCGTATCCACCAAACTGTCTGAATGCAGTGTACTGCAATCCTCTGCATATAGAAATGTAAAATGCATAAAATTAAATACTTCAAATATGGGATATATATATATATATATATATATATATATATATATATATATATATATATATATATATAAGGTTCTACTAAGTATCAGGAGTAAAATTGAGTTGATTGTTAGTTGTTTTACTTTATTCGAGCAGGTCTGAGTGAAAACTAACAATAAAATAGTGGCTAAATGAATGCTTACTCTGTCTCCTCATGAATCTCATATTCGTCCAAACAAACAGTCTGAAATACTGGGTTATCTGTAATACAACTCAGACTTATTTTTACTATTGTAGCTCTCCAGGCGCTGGAAACAAGGGAGTTCTCAGCACAGCAAAGACATCCAAAATAATTGGTAGACATCTACCGATAGTAGCAACATTTTCATTCTTTCGAGATCGGGATATGGTGAGGAAAGCCGCGCCGCGAAATTTAGTTGGCGAACCCTTTAGATTATAGTCCCTCACCTTCGGTGGTCTATCGTTTCATTGTGTTAAAAGAATCATAGGGCCAGGCGGTTTTCACGGTGCATGAAGATAAACAGTTAAAGAATACCACAATAAAGTCGGCAAACGAAAGATGCGCCAACATATAGATAATCGCGATTGCATTATTTCAAAAAAACCAAAAAGAAGGCCCCTGCCGTTCGAGCCTTTTAACCAACCAAAGCAACGGAAAGGGGGTCACGTGACCTTCACATCCGGTCGTACAATGTAAACAGAGCAGCATGGCCAACTCTAATAGAGATTCGGAGGAGTGAGACGTGGAAACGTCGCTTATTTAATAACTTTCTTGTTTAATATACATAGTGGAAGGTTGCTTAGACAAACTGTAGATAACATCACACCTTTTTGTTGAGCAACTTTTAGAAT